GGCAAATGATCATGATGTAACTGTCATCGTTGAGTTTGGCAATGTTGACGGAATGCCCGTTTATAATTTCAAAATAAGTTGCTGATTTGCTAATCGAATATGCAGGGTTACTTCACAATATTTTGATGATACGCAAAAGTTTTATTTTTGTAGCGTATCTGTAATGTTCGTTGCGTATTTGATAAGCTTGGATTTTATTTTACTGCGTATTTCTGCATTTCTGATGCGTATTTTACGCAGATACGCAGCTTATCTGGAGCTCTGAATGATGCATCATCACTGTTGTAGTTCAGTATTCTACCCAGGAATCCCGAAGCAGGAGAAATGGGGTTTGACATCAAATTCAAGATTATTGCACTTACATAGCGATGTGCATGCATATGTGTGTGTGGCTACTTGCATTAGTCTGCACTTGTGCTGGTTTTATAGTGCTAGCCTACTGAGATACAATGTCACAGTTAAACATGGATACCCCACTCAGACACAGTATACTGACTCCGAGCTGACAAATCCTTGTTTGAGCCCCTTAATTCCGAGCACGAGGCAGGGTAACAAAAAGTATGACGTGGCCGGGGATTGAACAACTGACCTTTCTCTCTCCAGACAGACGCTCTATAGTCTGGACTATTGAGGCAGTCTGCAACATGAGACTTGATTAGCATACAAGTACATTAGTAATGGTGATTCAGCTAGAAAACAGCTGTCAGGAAATCCTGTTTTGTACATTTGGAAAACAATCTGATGTTTCCATGACTTTTTCAAATGACTACAGTCAATCTTTCATGTCATGACTAGTCAATGTGTCATGTCATGACTAGTCAATCTGTCATGTCATGACTATTTCATGACTACAGTCAATGTGTCATGTCATGACAGATAAACTATCGTAATATAAAAGACTTGGTGGTACAAAAAAGAACACATTTTCCACTTGACACTTATTTATTTGAATGAAATGAAATAATTGAGCTGAGTGAGCAACTAGACACTATAATATTATAATTTAGCATAGCATCAACATGATCAATTGTAATAGTGTACTTGTTTCACTACCTACAGCCATCTTCAACATCTGCCCAGTCCAATTTACTTGTACCAGCTGTGTACACTGATATAAGTCAAGAGTTCTTAAATTGGATGCCAAGACAAACTGAGTGGTACCCTTGGGGGTGTGGCACCCTCATGAAAGAATGAAGGAGTCATTTGTCATGTTGAACAAAAGAAGTGACCAAAAGTTCAAACTAAACTGACTGGAATTTACCCAAACCTGCTCCAAGACTTCTATTCCACCCCAAATCTGCAGCAAAATGTCAGTAAAAAATCCCAAAATAAGAATTTCCAGTTTCATGTTTATCACTTATACATAGTTATATGTTATATGTATAGTTATAACTTATGTCATGGCTTTGTAAAGGTGAGTGAGTGAGTGAGTGAGTTGGGTTTAACATGTTTAACACCGCTTTTAACAGGATTCCAGTTATATCGCTGCGTGTCAGCTTATTGTGGGTGGGAAACCCAGAAGTGATGCAGGTCTCAGACGTTTACCACTTTGGTGAAACCTACGAGCACGGGTATGGAGCTGACAAACCTAGAAACATAATCGGGGCGAACCGGGATTCGAACCCACAATCATAGGTTTCTGGCGTGCCCAAGGGACACAACTCTGTACAGCGAGTCGCAGCACCTTAGACGACTGGGCCACCGGTGTCCCCCTTTGTAGAAGTGACTGGTCTTTCACTGATAACATGTTCAATAAGGAAGAGGCTCTAATGTTCACGTTTACATTATTGCATCAAATGTAAAGTTACTCAGGGTTATATGCGACACACAAATGTTGAAAATGGACACAGAAAAAGGATATACCGTGTCCTGAGGGACGCACAATATATCTTTGTACCTACAGCACATCAAAAGCATTTGTGGGTGTCAGCCATTTTGTCCATCAATCCTGACCTCTCTCGAAATGATCATTGATTCATTCCAGGCTCTATGGAATTACGAAAACGTACAGTACTAAACACCATTTCATTACTGACAGGACCCTTATATAGTCTGCAAGGACCCTTAAAATTAACGTATTCGACGCAATAAGCGCCCTGCTCTAATAAGCGCCCAATGCGGTATTTGTAATTTGGCTAGTGATCAATCCCAATTAGCACCCCTTCCGATTGATCAATGTTCACAAGACTTGTTTAATCGCTACAATACGCACTTGTGTGTTATATGCACCCTTAATTATGGGCAATTAAATTCTAGAAAAATACATTTGTCGTACATAAACATTTCAGGCTGTCAGCATAAACCACAAAATTTATCTTTCAACTGTTTTTTTTACCAAAATAAAATTCCAATAAGAGCCCCCTATTTCTAATTTTGAGAGCCCCCTGGGCGCTTATTACGTCGAATACGGTAATTTTTGTTCTCCCCTGGACCCCTACTTTCACTTCAAACTAAAACCCAGTAACTCATGCCTGGGGCTGGGACTGGACACAAAATGTGTGATCCTATATGAATCACAATGGCCAAATACCTGGCACACCGACAATTTACAGTTGGCAGTGTCAAGTATGGCACAGTGGATGAAAATATTTTTTGTTTTCACTACTAATTAGTGTTTGGAGTAGCAGTTATTAATGAAAACATTTAAGGTAAGAATCAACATTTAATACTTAGCGTGCAACTGTGATCGATACTTGTACTCAGAAGTAAAAAGGCACGATCAAAGGTTGCATCATCCCACTCCTACTTGTTTTAACATACAGTGTTAACATGGTTGAAAAAAATTGAATTTAAGAAAAAAATAAGTAATCAGAAACCCAATTTTGAGCAAAAACCCATATTGTTTCTCAATTTGCTTGCCAAAGGCAATTAGATTGGACGCTTAGACAAATCCCTGACTTATATCACCAGGGCGTGATTTAAGGAACTTGATTTAACCTGTACCAGATGCATGTTGACAGGAAAACCTAGTTGCACCAGACTAAACCAGGTTGCACCCTGGTCCCATAAATTTATAAAAGTTGAAACACAGATGCATAAACTTATCTAAATAAGAACAATTACTGTGTTATATGTCATGAAACTGACACAACAAAGGGAGTTTGTTCAAAGATTGATGTTGTGTGGACATGTAAGGCTTAATCAGACACAAATTTGAATTTATGGTACATGCACTGACTCAGCCTAGTAGACATAAAAATTAGGCTGCATTTTTCAATAATAGGTTGCACTGGTGCATGTTTTATAAGCTTAATCGAGCCATGATCACGTAAACATGGTAAACTAATACTGCAATCTATACCATGTATACCAAACCCTTTTGAACATGTTGAGTCTACTCATCCTTTGACAATGTTTTGAAAGCTTTTAAAGTTAATTATATGGGTTGTTATGAGCTGAGCTTACAAGACCGATAGAAATGTCACTAGACTCAGCCTTCAGACCAGCGGTGAAAGTTGCAGACTGATAATGCACGGAGAATTCTTGTACATGTAATAAATGTAAGGTTAACATGATATACTAGTCAAAAGACATTAAACAACACCGGATTTGTTTCTAGACTTTAGTTAAGTTGTCATGGCTGGTGGATATTACACGACACAGCCTTCCAAATGTGGGTCTTCAAGTTTTGAGTAGTATATAAATGCCATCAGAAAACACTACTTTTCTACACGTACAAATCTTTTTCTCATGGTTGAATGTAGTTGAAACTTGTCCTACTTCCAGTACTCACAGTGACTTGTTACCATTGTTACAGCAGTCTTTGAAATTCACGCTTGGATGCTAGTCCAAGTCTACTACAATGTAATTGTGCTGATGACAAGTAAAAATCCAGTGTTGGTAGTGAGTGAGAATAGTTTTACGCCACTTTTAGCAATATTCCAGCAATATCATGGCGGGGGACACCAGAAATGGGCTTCACACATTGTACCCATGTAAGGAATCGAACCCGGGTCTTCGGCGTGACGAGCAAACGCTTTAACCACTAGGCTACCCGACCGCCCCCCAGTGTTGGTAGACCCCATTGACTAGAAGCATTTGATGGCAATAATTCTGAACCTCAACAGGCCATGTTACAATCACTGCTTCATACCTTAGTCATGTTAGTTGAGGCCTTCTTTCATCCCAGTGACAGTAACCATGGTAACAATGTACAAAATAATGTCAAAAAGTATTTTTTAATCTTAAAAGGATTAATAATATTACTGAGAACATATTAATGAGAAAACATGAACATGATGAAAAAGGTATTAACCAGAATAAAAATAAAAACCATTGTTAAACTTTGTCATCATTAGTCTGCCTACATCATGTACATTACCAAGCTTTTTCTTCTGCATGAATAGTTTATATAAGCTTAAATAACAATACCAAAAGAAAGCCCACAGTACTGAGGCTTTAGACTCACACATGTAGCTAAAATGGCAAGCTATGATACCTGCCATTCACGCAATGATTCAATAAGACAGAATCTGACACTGCCTATCCAGCCTTCGACATTCACACCAGCCCGAGACCACTGTTGTGCTGAAGACAAGTAAAAATCCCATGATGGGAGTCCACATTGAACCAGTTCTCAGTGCTCCAACTTTGCTACAAATTGGTTTTGAAAAAACCGACAGGAGTATAAAGAGTAAATATTTCTGTCTTGTTCAAGCAGTTCTCGGTACAAACTTAGTGAAATAAGTTTTACACTAGTCCTCTGGACACATCTCAAAATGCTGAATTTCTAAGGTTGTTAGAGCCCTAACAATTACTACTACTGTAGACATGAGCATTATCATATTTAGAACACATAAATACACTGAGGCACAATTCACATTCCAGGTAGCTTCAAGTCATGAATATGCTGAAGGAAACATGGATTTCACTTTGGTACAAAATAGATTACCATGTTTAAGAATGTTTTCCTCACCTATGCAAATGCAAAACGTTTCACTGAGGTGAAGCATAGTGAAAATATTAATTTCTTTTTGAGTATTGAGAAATCTGATGCTTCATCAGTTTCCAACAACCGTATCCTTGTTCTGCCCCCCAAGTGGATTGTCAGTGTTCTCTGTTATGATATCTTCATCCACACAATCCATCGGCTCTATCTTTGGCTGTACCAGTGCTTCTGACGGCTGGACAACGCCTAACGATGACCCTTCAAGTGTGTTCATCACAGAGTGATTCTTTCGCTGAATGGAATTAATCTCAGTGTCCCCTGGTGACTTCAGGAGTGATTCCGTCTTCCGCTGAATGTCCACAGATTGAATCACACTTAATGACTCATCTACCAGAGTGTTCAACCCTGTGTCTTCGTCCACTTGAGAGGACTGGATCTCATTCATTGTCCGCACAATCAGTGAACTGATCATTTGCTCACTAGTTGGTGGTAATTCTGATGTCTGGTGCTCACTGTCCAAGCATTTAGTTTTGTCTTTTGCACTCAACTTCAACCTCCGAAGCATCTTCATGTCCTCTGGATTGCACTCCGGCTGGTTCTTCAGCCAGCGAATACACTTCTCAAAATGCACCACTGCATCTGAATCGCTAGGGAATGAAGGTTTTCGCTTTCTCTTTTCATTTGGTTTGTTTTCACTGTTGAATATTGCAATTTCTTTCTTCACTTTCTCAATGATCTCCACATCTGATAGTAAGGGAAAAAGGAGAAAAGAGTCCACTTTGTCGACCCAGTCTGCTATATCCTGCAATGTGACATCGTTGAAGAAATCATGACGGGACAGAATTTCAAGGATTTTTTCTGATACTGATGGTTGATTGTTGCACTCATTGTCTGGAATCTGTGTTTTCCTAATTGACAAATTCCTGAAAAATTCAGCCCATAAGTGTGCAATGTCCCCTCTCTTAGCATCACTCCAAGCATCCACCGAGAGCTGTAGAGCTGTTTCCAGATTGAAACCATCTAAGTACTGCTTAAAAAGGAATGTTTTTGTTGAAGGTGTAGCAGTGGACCCAGCAAAAGCTTTCTTTACTTGTGAGAGTCTATATTCCTTTTTGAAAATTTCTGGGATACCTGAGCAGAGAGAGAGTTTTTTGTTTGTACAGTTCGGTGGCAGAAAGATTGCCCGAACTGAACCATCTTCTGTTGTCAGCTCATCTGTGGCAAATGGGTGAGCTGGAGAACTCTCAAGAATTAGTACTGCATTTTGTGAATAACCATTCTTCTCTGCTTCAACTTTCACTGCGGGAATAAAACCATTAGTGAACCAATTTTTCAAAATAACCGGATCCAAACTGGCATCATCTGTGGTAACAAGTCGAGATGGAAGATCTGCATTGTCTTGTGGTCCAGCATCACTTCCTGGGTTGGCAATGACTAGCAGTGGTAGTTTGTGTGATCCTGTTCCATTTACACACAACAAAAATGTTAGTCTCTCTTTGGCTGATAAGACGTCAGACTTCATCATTTGGGCTATTCTGACTGGCAATGACTTCCATGACAGTCGAACTTCACAGGCGTAATAGATCTGATGTTCAGCCAACTCTTTTTCACGAATATGAGCTTTCAGTTTTTCTTGGAATGAAGAAATGTCTTTTTGCATAACAGCATTGAGGTCAAGTTCAGCATGTAAGTGTTCAATGCCACAACGTTGTTTGAAACGAAATAACCACCCCGAAGATGCTTTGAACTTCGTGTTCTCTCCATTTAGCTTGTGATCAAAGTAAGCTGCTTTGCGTGTGATCACTGGTCCAGTGATGAAACTTCCCTTTATCCTTTCTTGAATATACCAGATATGCATGCATCTCTCAAGTATTTCGTGGGTAGGCCTTCTCATCACCCGTCGTCGCTTTGTCATACCTTCATTTGCTAATGCAGTCGAGCAGAAATCGAACAGCTGCTTTCTATTTCGCATTATTTCGTGAACGGTAGATTTGCCGATGTCATAATGAACAGCGATATCACTTGCCCTTTCATTGTTTTCTAGTCTCTGAACAATGTCTAACTTTTCTTCGAATGTCAAAACCTTCCGTTTTCTCACGGTTGCGGACATAATGAACAATCGCGGTCACTGTATAATCACTGACAGAAAATGAAGAAAGTCTTCATTTGTGAGCTAAACGTCAACAACACTTTGACTACTGGAATACGCAGTAATTGAGAACATCATTGTGCGGTCGATCGCCACATATCGTAAATGTGGTATCATTCTCAAAAGTTAAAATATTTGGATAAATACGAATACTGACATTAATTTTGTCACTTGGGCGCCATATTTGTAAGGGCGGATAACTCTAAGTTATTGTTTTACAGGTTCCTGGATCCCCCGCCTTGTGTCGCTGCGCTCCTTCCTAAACTGGCTCTTCTGTTGGTACGCGACGCAAGCTTAGCGGTGGACAGGTCTACTCATATTGGTGGATTCTGGCTGAAGGATGTAGGATCGATACGACCTAGATCGAGGGAAACATTTAAAGAAAAAACTTATTTCACCTTTATTTACCTCTTCAAACTAAAGATGTGTATCTTTTTAATGAATTCTTCATTTATCACTTTATCAGATTACAATGTATTTAACTGGTGAAGATCGGGGCTATAATTGATCTTCAGCAGATAGATAGATAGATAGATAGATAGATAGATAGATAGATAGATAGATAGATAGATAGATAGATAGCTAGACAGATAAATATTCTTTATTTCCTCCAGATATTGAAGATACATATCATATATGATATTATGTATAATTACTGAGCTGTACAGTAGTAAAATTTAACAATATTATGAGAAATGATAACTACAAAATGCATGACAATCAAGCATTCTTATAACTGTTTTGAAACAGATACAGCCATTTCCTACAGTATCTTGACACAATAAGGTCACCCCATAGACTTTGAGATAAAGAGCTAACACACTCAGGCATACCGCCAAGTAGTACAGACAGGATTATATCATCGTCCTCACTACATAGTCTTGTAAATGTAGAGACATCTATCACATCACAAATGATTTCAAATAGTTCATTTCTGTCATTCATATTCAATGTACAATACAAAAAGACATGCTTAATAATATCACGAGCTACAATTCTACATCGACATTCCCTAGATTCTATATTTAGGCATCCCAGCCGTACAAGATGAGACAGGTTTGGGAACTGTTCAAGACGTTCAAGTGCAAGCAGCCAGAGTCTGTGTTCTTTATCATTACATAGCGAAACATATCTATTTAAGTTAAGTCTAGATAGCAGCTTAGATCTTACAGCGCTCGATGTCAATCACTGGAGTGTCTGGTCCAGACTCGAGTATTACCTGGCGCCGTCATATAGCTGGAATATTGCAGAGTGCGGCGTTAAACAAACACAGAAAAAATCAAAAAGTGATAACAAATTGTCAAGGGGTCGCTCTATATATTTCCTGAACAATTTAACCCTGATGTAGGACATATTCGTTACCAGGTTATTAGGAGGAAGATCTAAAACGAGCGCAGTTCTTCAGTTTCAAAATTTAAATAGGCATATGTGTGCATTTGTAAATGCTAGTATGCTATTATATATCCATACAATGCTAGTAACATTATTATTAAATCGCCTACCACAGAACATTAAATGTGGAAACTATCGTTATTGTGTGTACCACGCTTGGGTCCACCCCCCCCCCCCCCCCGACTTGAAATACTACATTTCACCTTCCCCTAAAAAACTACTTTACTTCAACATCAAATATTCTGTCATGAATTCACTCCTATGAATTCAGTCTTGATTTGACATGCAAATATGTTTTCACATTTTTATCTCCATTCAACATTATTTCATTTATATGTGAAGATCCGGGGTAGAATAGGTCTTCAGCAACCAATGCTTGCCGTCACAGGCGACTGTGCTTGTCTCAAGAGGCGACAAACGGGATCGGGTGGTCAGGCTCGCTCGTTGTCTTGGTTGATGCGCATGATGTCAATCACTGGATTGTCTGGTCCAGACACGATTATTTACAGACCGCCGTCATATAGCTGGAATATTGCTGAGTGCGGCGTTAAACAACAAACCAACCAAACCAAACATTTATTAAGCCCTGCGAAGATCCAGGTCTGAATTGGTCTTCAGCAACCCATTGTTGTAAGAGGCGACTATATATTTGATCGGGTGGTCAGGATCGCTGATTTGGTTGACTATATTCCAATTGTAGATCGACACTCATGGTATCAATCACTTGATTGTCTGGCCCCGACCGGTTATTTACGGACCGTCGTCATGTAGTTTGAATATTGCTGTGAGCGGCGATAAACAACACACAAAAACGCACAAAACACATTTATAAAAGTAGTCATTTTTTAAGTTTCTGAGGATGTCTAACGATGTTATACAGGATGCGAGGGGTTGTCCGCGTTGTGTCATTTACACAATCAGACTCAATAGTCGGCCAAGATCTTTGCGGTTTACTGCGTGTGTATAGAGACATAGAAGCATAGACGTGTGGTTGCAAGACATATTGCTTATAATGAAAGGTAGTCACAGTATGATATCTACGGCAGGCGAACGTGATATATCTTGAATATTGCGCAAAGCTGCGTAAAATCAAACTCACCGACTTTGTTTAAATATTTCAGCTTAATGGGATGGGATGACCCTCTACGATTTGCTGACATATTATTACAATACAGATACAAGTCCAGAACGACAGAGGAATTGAAATTTAAGACTTGGTAGGGTGCTGGTCCTTGTTCAAATTACATTCTTTCTTCATGGCGAAGTCTTTGTCACTAGGTGAGCGCATTCATTGAAGCGTGCGTAAAATAACAACCAGCTCCGAAGAACTCGAAAGTCCCCACGCTTAGAGTGAGTAAGTATGGTTTTACGCCACTTTTAAGCAATACCAAAGATATATCACGGAGGGGGACACCAGAAATGCGCTTCACACATTGTATCCATGAGGGGAATCGAACCCGGGTCTTCGGAGTGACGAACGAACGCTTTAACTACTAGGCTACCCCCGCCCCCGCACGATTAGTGGTGCGGTGAGGTAAAATGGGGTTTAAAGTCGTGTCCAAGATTATTGCACTTATATACCGACGTGCATGCACGTGTGTGTGTGGCTGCTTGTACTAGTCCTGACTCTTGCCGATTTTATACTGCTACCCCACTGAGATACCATGCCGCAGTGTAACATGAATACCCAACTCAGACACAGTATACTGACTCCGAGCCGACCAGTCCTTGTTTTAGCCCCTTTATGCCTAGCGCTAGGCAGGGTAACAACAAGTACTATCTTTTAACGTTCTTTGGTATGACATGGCCGGGGATCGAACCCCCGGTCTTCTCTCTCCGGGCGGACGCTATACCACAAGACCATTGAGGCGGTTCGCGCGATTAGAGGTGGTTGACTTGTGAACAACCAGAATATATTTTATCATCCATTTTTATACAATGTAACATGCCTTATTACATGTACATATGTATTGCTTTTCGGCACCATGATACTGGGGTAATCGAACATTCGAGACAAGCGGAGTTAACAAAATAAATGCACCGATTACAACATTGTCATTGTGTATGCTCAAAGCTCTACACTTGACAGAGCTATATACACATATACACACATAAAGCTACCGTAATAAGATTAGTACAGGGTCTGCATGTTTTAAGCCCCCTCGTAATTCAGCCTATGGACATAAAAATGGAAACATAAAACGCTTTTAAGCCCATGGGCTTAAATAAAATTGAAATATTGATTGATCTCCCATATCGGATTTTCTTCAATCAGACTTGTAGCACGCTTCTGTATGGTCAATTTGAACCAACATTGCACCTTAAGCGCTGTTAGAGCTTTCCATATTTCCAGTCCAAAAAGAGGCCCTTACGTGGGTGATGTTCTGGGTACCCATTTTGACAACGCATACGACGGACATGCGTAACTGCGATAACGGTTTACTGTTACTTTATTGACAATTGTCATTTCAGTTTTGAAAATGTTGCTCTCCCATACCATTTGTGAGTATTGTTTCATTAATCTTGGGATATTCATTCGTGCTTTTTCCTTTTTCGTGTTTAAACCCTAGGCTTAAATTTGGATAAAACGTTACTCAGTTAAAATAGGCAAAATCCGTAATTAAACCCAGGGCTTGAAAACCTGCAGTCCCGGTAATACTTTCTTAACAGAGAGGTTTCATGGTGGCTCTTGAAATAGTCAAAGGAAGGATATAGTCTCAGGTTGAGAGGCAAATGGTTCCAAAGAAGCGCAGCTCCATAGCTTAAGTGAGTGAGTGAGTTGGGTTTAACGCCCCTTTTAACAGTATTCCAGTCATATCGCAGCGTGTCAGCTTAATGTGGGAGGAAACCCCGAAGTGATGCAGGTCTCAGACGTTTACCACTTCGGTGAAACCCACGAGCACGGGTATGGTGCTGACAAACCTAGAAACATAATCGGGCGAACCGGGATTGGAACCCATAATCATAGGTTTCTGGCGTGCCCAAGGGACGTAATTCTCCACAGCGAATCGCGACGCCTTAAACCCCTGGGCCACCCGTGCCCCCATAGCTAAAGGATTTTTGACAAAAAGATTTCAGGTTGTGCACCGGGACAGTAAGAATGTGATGTCAACAGATCGTAAGGCTCTACAGCGAGTTTTTTGTCAGGAGCTCAAGCAGGTATTCAGGGCCTCATTCCTCAAAGCTATCTTAGCGCTAAGGTAATCGTAAGTCCCATACTTTAACATAGGCTTACGATCACCATAGCGCTAAGATCGCTTTGAGGAACGGGGTCCTGGACCAGTGTGGTGAGATTTGTAAGCAGAACAGAAGACACTGTAGTGTCCTCTTGCCATAACAGGAAACCAATGCAGGGCTGTAGGTAAGGAGTTCGCCCCACTTTGCTGACTGTACGAGCTACAGTGTTCTGATCGGAGTGTTGGATAGGAGTTTCTGACATACCAGTCCCGTTGCAATAGTCCAGCTTTGACAGCACCAATGATCTGGCAAGTGTATGAGCTGCATTTGTTGTCAAAGAGCTGCCGATGTTGCTGATATTCCTGTGGCGGAGGTAACGTGCCTTGCAGGTGTTATTAACATGGCTCTTCGTTGTTAACTCCAGACGAAGTCCTACAGTTTTTTGGACAGAAAAAAATGATGTTCTGAAAACTATGGGGAAAAAGTCCTCGGGTAACACGATAAAAAAACCATTTCTTTGGTAGCCTGAAAAAGAAATGAGTTGTTGGTACCAACACAAATCCCAGGCCCCCCAGTTTCTTATATTAGCAGCGGCATCCATAATCAGTTATATGGAGAGATGTAGTGTGCACATTGGTCATTACCCAAACGTCGAATGCTTATTTGTCTTACGGCCAGAACTCCTACAGTTTGATGGGAGGGGAGATGGTGAATTAAACTAGCACGTCAGTGCAAACATGGGGTCGTCTGGAGGGGCCACATATTCAATATTTGATGTGGTTTAGAAAACTCCTAATGTTGTCAGTAGCTAAACGCGAGATGATCAAGTATGATCAACGTACCGAGGCTTAACAATGGTAAAACACAGCGCTGTAAAGTTCTCTCTATTTAAAATCTGTATAACTTATGGTTAATTGTGATCTCCATTTAATATTTCGCAATGAATATATAATATATATGTGTGTGTGTGTGTCAGTGTTAGTGTTAGTGTGTGTGTGTGTGTGTGTGTGTGTGTATGTATGTATGTATGTATGTATGTATGTATGTATGTATGTATGTATGTATGTACGTACCTTTCTTTCTATACTCTCCATTTAAAATCTTTTTAACTTACTTATTGTTAATCGTGATCTCCATTTAATATTTTGCAACGAATATATATATATATATATATATATATATATATATATATATACATACACACACACACACACACATACACACACACACACACACAGACAGACAGACAGACAGACAGACATACAGTGTTTTATCATCATTTCAATTCAGTAGTACATGAGTATAAAAAAAGGATTTTTATTTAAATAACCTTAAAACTGGTTAAGTCACTAACACCTACGATAAAGAATGCGTCAAGACGAGAACCAAGTCAGTTTTCACAAGATGTTCGTGGCAATAAATCCCGACTCCGCAGCAACAGGATTTTGTGTTGTGACAGATGAAGACTCCCGAGACTGTCGAGGATGTGGAATTCTTTCTAAAGGAGTGAAAAGCTATGTTTTTTTATTACTTGTCGCATGACAACAAAACCTCAGAAGGCATTTTCAAGCACGTCACGAAAAGGTTTTCCGTCTTTCTCTGGGGATCTACTTACCATTCTTGGAATAAATTGTCGTGAGTTTAGGCGATTTGCGTGGAATGGGATTGGTAAATTGCATTTCATTTCTGAGCAACAGTACCAGAGGTACAGAAGCTCACCTTTATTCAGAGATATAAAACGTGAAGTTTGAGGTTGGGAAAACCTAGCTTTTGTCTTGCATATGGCAATACCCATCACTCGGATTCAACGTGTTGTCGTCATTTTCTCAAGTTCTCTTAAAAATTGGGATGCCTTTTTAATGACCTTGCATTTTGTTGTCTGTATTACATGTTCACTATCTATTGTTGTGGAAGAGGGGGGTCTGCAGAATACAAAGCCACATCGAAGGGGGGAGAGAGGGAGTACACTGTGTAGGGGTGGGGAGGATTGTTGATGAGATTGTGGATGAGGATGAAGCTGAGGATATAGATGAGGATGAGGATGAAGATGAGGATGAAGATAAAGTTGAGGATAAAGATGAGGATGAAGATAAAGATGAGGATAAAGTTGAGGATGAGGATGAGGATAAAGATAAAGTTGAGGATAAAGATGAGGATAAAGATGAGGATGAAGATAAAGTTGAGGATGAAGATAAAGTTGAGGATAAAGATGAGGATGAAGATAAAGTTGAGGATAAAGATGAGGATGAAGATAAAGTTGAGGATAAAGATGAGGATGAAGATAAAGTTGAGGATAAAGATGATGATGAAGATGAGGATAAAGTTGAGGATGAGGATGAAGATGAGGATGAAGATAAAGTTGAGAATGAGGATGAAGATGAGGATGAACATAAAGATGAAACTGAGGATGAGGATGAGGATGAAGATAAAGTTGAGGATGAGGATGAAGATGAGGATGAAGATGAAGATAAGGATGAAGATGAGGATGAAGATAAGGATGAAGATGAAACTGAGGATGAAGATGAGGATGAAGATAAAGATGAGGATGAGGATGAGGATGAAGATGAGGATGAGGATGAGGATGAGATGAGGATGAAGATGAAGATGAGGATGAGGATGAGGATGAAATTGAGGATAAAGATGAGAATGAGGATGAAGATAAAGTTGAGGATGAGGATGAGGATGAAGATAAGGATGAGGAGGAGGATGAAATGAGGATGAAGATAAGGATGAGGATGAAGATGAAGATAAGGATGAGGATGAAATGAGGATGAAGATGAGGATGAAGATGAGGATGAGGATGAGGACAAAAAGGAAGTCAATTTATCATAACTATGCCAAAGAGATAACCGAAACATACACAGTGGATATGGAAGTATGAATAAGATCTCAAGGTGAGTTTATAACAACCCGTGCTACTATCCAGATGTTACATACAGATAATGTCTTGTTAAGTACTGATGCAACACTGATAGTTCCGATTGATTACATTCACATATACTTGAATCAATAAACCTATAGGCCACGTGTAATCATGGCTTCGCTTTAATATATTTAATATATTTTGTAGCGTCAGCTTTATTTGTGAGGAAAGCCTTTGATCGCGTTAAATGAAACCAATAACCACATGGACTAGTCACCGCTGTAGTTAACTGTCATTCGGACCCACAAGTGGATCCTTGATCAAATGGACGCAGCTCTGACCAACGAGTTGCCGCGCTCAAGATCGCTGGGCCACCCATGTCCAGTTGTAGCCGAAATTACATCCAGGGGGCACGGGAGGCCCAGTCGTCCAAGGCGCTGCAATTCCACATGCAGAGTTACGTCCCTTAGGGACACCAGAAACCTATGATTGTGGGTTCGAATCCCGGTTTGCCCCGATCACGTTTCTATGTTTGTCAGCACCACAGACGTGCTCATGGGTATCACCGAAGTGATAAACTTCGGGCTTTCCTCCAACATTAATCTGAAACGCCGTGATATAAGTGGAATACTGTTAAAAAACGGCGTTAAAATCACCTCACTCACTCACTCACTCAGCATGACTAGTACGCTTGTCAGCACCATACCCGTGCGCACGTGTTTCACCAAAATAGTAATCATCTGACATCTGCATCATTTCGGGTTTTCCTTCCACATCAAGCTGACACGCCATGATATAACCAGAATACTGTTAAATGCGGCGCAAAACTCACTCACGAAGCGAAATCAACGAGAAGTTTATACTGTATTCAACAACTGTTTGTAAGTTTGTAAGATGTCTAAACAACTCAATGCAATCATAGGGGTCATTTTAGCTATTCAACAATTTGCAACATTCAGCATCTGGGGTTCTAGTCTCTCCAAAGACCACAGCTTGTACTGAACTCCGTTCCACAGAGCGATCGTATCACTTAGACGATCTTAATTCCAACACTTTTACTGACTTTAGGTCTGATCGTAGCGCTACGATCGCTATGTGGAACGGGGTGCTGGAGAGTACTGAGAGTGAGTGTTTAGGTACCCATTTTGTTGCCGCTAAGTACCTGGGCCCCGTTCCACAAAGCGGTCTTAGCGCTACGATGACTGTAAGCCTATGTTAAAGTGAGGAAGTTACGATTACCTTAGCGCAAAGATCGCTTTGTGGAACGGGGCCCTGAACTGTGTAACTAGTCCTGGACCATGACTGTAGAATATATTTATTTTCTGAAAAAAAAAAAAATCTAGTAACGCATACAAAAGCAAGTCTAGCCAGCTCCAGCTAGCTCTATTCCACATGATAATGAAATCAGCATAGGGATTTTTTATTTTTTTAGTGTCAAGAGGGATATTGTGTAATATAAGATTTCAGAGACTAAATGTTAGTCTACTGTGTAACCATTGGTAGTAGATAGTAGGGTCATCGCTCGAGATACGATGACCTAGTCATTTCGATAACAGCTCAGTACCTCTGTTCCCACGAAGCGCCCTAATCTACTCCCGTTCAGTTATTGTGACAATTCAATTTCCATTTGCGCTAAGGCAGTCTTAAGAAACTGTATGCGAATGTTAACGTGGATGCGTTCTGATCGTCTTAGCGCTGCGACAGGTTTGTCGATCGGGGCCTTGTGTGTGCATTAAGTTGCGTAGGACCCGTGAAGATCCGGGCTAGAATAGGTCTTCAGCAACCCATGCTTGCCGTAAAAGCGACTAACGGGATCGGGTGGTCAGGCTCGCTGACTTGGTTGATGCATGTCATCCGTATCCCAATTGTGCAAATCAATGCTAATGATGTCAATCACTGGATTGTCTGGTCCAGACTCGATTATTTACAGACCGCCGTCATATAGCTGGAATATTGCTGAGTGCGGCGTTAAACAACAAACAAAAGAGCGTATCGTAGAGATAACAATGATGACTCCTGGAGTGAATGCTGTTTTGTGCCGCATGTTGTGTACGCAATCGACCAGGGGACAAACACAAAGTGATGGGTAAAATTAACAACCAGCTGCCATCAGAGGTTGTTCAACATCAACCATATCTTCAGGGTACTATGACACACCATCAGCCAGTTGCACATCGTAACAGCTGCCATCAGAGGTTGTTCAACGTCAACCGCATCTTCAGGGTACTGTGTCACACCATCAGCCATGTTGCACATCGTAACAGCTGCCATCAGAGGTTGTTCAACGTCAACCATATCTTCAGGGTACCAATGACACACCATCAGCCATGTTGTACATCGTAACAGCTGCCATCAGAGGTTGTTCAACGTCAACCATATCTTCAGGGTACTATGACACACCATCAGCTAGGTTGCACATCGTAACAGCTGCCATCAGAGGTTGTTCAACGTCAACCATATCTTCAGGGTACTATGACACACCATCAGCTAGGTTGCACATCGTAACAGCTGCCATCAGAGGTTGTTCAACGTCAACCACATCTTCAGGGTACTATGACACACCATCAGCCATGTTGCACATCGTAACAGCTGCCATCAGAGGTTGTTCAACGTCAACCGCATCTTCAGGGTACTGTGTCACACCATCAGCCATGTTGCACATCGTAACAGCTGCCATCAGAGGTTGTTCAACGTCAACCATATCTTCAGGGTACTATGACACACCATCAGCTAGGTTGCACATCGTAACAGCTGCCATCTGAGGTTGTTCAACGTCAACCATATCTTCAGGGTACCATGGCACACCATCAGCGAGGTTGCACACCGTAAGCAACTGCCATCAGAGGTTGTTCAACGTCAACCACATCTTCGGGGTACTATGGCACACCATCAGCCAGGTTGCCCATCGTAACAGCTGCACACAAAGATTGGAAAGAAATGTTGAGACCTATATATCACTGATAACTGTCGGACCAGTCGATATTCCACACTCCTGGACTATTTACGCCAGTGAACTGAGCCGTAAGCCTTCTAAATATAAAATGTATTTTAGTTGGGACATATGGGATCTTGTGATGTGGACTTAATTAATGCCTAGCTTGTTTTCGACTGTGCAAAGGAGACTTTGCAAATAGACAGTATTACTCTCCCCACCACAACGATCCTCTATAAATCACACGTGGATTAATGAGGCAAGGGTACACACTAGACGCAGTCTTTATAAGGACTTCCCATACGGAGCCCGCCCCCGTGGCCTAGTGGAAAGACCGTCTGTTCAGAGAGTGGAAGGTCGGTGTTTCGATCCCCTGGCCGAGTGACAAGACGTTAAAAGATTGATTTGTTGTTATCCTGCCTGGCGCTCGGTATTAAGGGAATATACGTAAGGACTTGTCGGCTCGGAGTCAGTATTGTTACGTGTCGATTTCCAAATTGAAACAATATGTTAACCAAAAGGCGTATACAGATGTATATACGTCTTTGGTGAATCCAGAAATCTGTACGTAAAAGAATTTAGTGTGAAACCAACAAACAGACATCAAATGGTATACAATCAACAAATGTATTACAAAATTGACTGAACGCGGTATACAGTCCGGACAAGTACAAGCACGCACGCACGCACGCACGCAGTTTGGAAATGCGTCCACATAAAACATCTAACTGCAAGTGCATAATTTTAGGAAAGAAAATCGCGTTTGTTAGCCGATAAAGTAAAGTAGTTGTTATTTATGTTGTAAGTATTTAGTTATATGTGTTTTATTATACATATGCATGATACGGGTGCACGGGTGGCCAAGTCGTCTAAGGAGCCGCAATTCGCTGTGCAGAGTTGCTTCCCTTGGGCACGACAGAAACCTGTGACTATGGGTTCGAATCCCGATTTGCCCCGATTGTATTTCTAGGTTTGGCAGCACCATACCAGTGCTCGTGGGTTTCACCAAAGTGGTTAAAATCGGGCTTTCCTCCCAACATTAAGCTGTCATATCGTGATATAATTGGAATACTGTTCAAAGCGGCGTTAAACCAAATTCACTCACTCAGCATAATTAGTATGCTTCTAAAAAAAATAGGGGAGGGGAGCAGCCTTGCCCACACATCACCATCATTCTTCTGGGTCTTACCACGATGCCGTCATTAGTAAACGTATTTCTATTATACACCGAGGAGCAACAGAAACTATTCCTCTAGGTTGATTTCATCATAGGTTGATTTTCATTTGAAAATATATTAAGTTAGCGATATTTTATAGCAAATTGATCTGCACTGGCTCTTAGGCAGCACTCAAAGAATACGTCTTCATTGTTAATTAAAACAATTGATTTAGTACTTTTAAAAATTAAAAAAAGAAAACACCTTTTAAGGTACAATCGAGAATTTAAAACGCTTAACGGTTGTTTGATCAGGGTTACAACATTCAAGGCCTTAGTAAAGCTTTTAAACGGTTTTATGGCAGACATGTGAAAGACTTTTCCAAATTTGACGCATCAGTAACAAACATGATGCTTGATGCAATTCCCCTATTTTGACTGTACCACATGACTTGCCTTTGCTTTTGCGGTGGGGCAGGATACGGTCACCTATTCGTGAACACCTGGTATCATCGTTATATAGTAGTGATTCATAAACACGCGATCATGATATACCGTATTCGACGTAATAAGCGCCCCGCTCTAATAAGCGCCCACGGCGATATTTGCTAATATATTGGCTAGTGAACAATCCCAATTAGCACCCCATCCGATTGATCAATGTACACAAGACTTATTTATTCATGTATAATACGCACGCGTGTGTTATATACACCCTTAACTATGGGCAATTAAATTCTGGAAAACTATATCTGTCGTACATAAACACTTCAGGCTGTCAGCATAAACCACGAAATTTATCTTTCAACTCTGTTTTTTTCACCAAAATAATATTCTAATAAGAGCCACCTATTTCTTATTTCGAGAGCGCCCTGGGCGCTTATTACGTCGAATATGGTAGTCGGAATTGTACAATAAACTCTGCTCTTAAGACATTTGTTATGATTATGGAAAATGTTTTGTCGTTTTTTCACTGTGAGTAAATTGGGTGATAAAGGTAGATCAGTGGGGCAGTCAGTTACATTTTGTATAATGCCCTGTTGAATGCTGAGATCACAACGAGTATCTTAGTCAGACTTCTACTGAGTCCGTATGACTTGTAGGCCGTTGTAATTTACATCATGACAAGGACAAGAAGTATGGTGTTTTGTTTACTAATCTATGCAGGTTCCTTTGTAGTTTTCCCCAGACTTTTCATCAAAAGTGAAAACCAACCCACGTGGATACAGCTCTTTTGAGAGGGGACGGTGCACCTAGAATGCAATTAGGGAAACAATTGACATTGTTGGCAGACAATTAGTTAATGACTCCTTTTTTTGAAAACATGTCACAAAATGATTTCGTTATATGTTTTGTGTATACACCAACATTATTAGACACGACAAGACACATGATTAGTATGCTGCATGATTAGTATGCTGCAGGATTAGTACGCTGCATGATTAGTATGCTGCATGATTGGTATGCTGCATGATTGGTATGATGCATGATTAGTACGCTGCATGATTAGTATGCTGCATGATTAGTACACTGCATGTTAAGTATGCTGCATGATTAGTATGCTACATTAGTATGCTACATGATTAGTATGCTGTATGATTAGTATGCTGCATGATTAGTATGCTGCATGATTAGTATGCTGCATGATTAGAACGTTGCACGATTAGTATGCTGCATGATTAGTATGCTGCAAGTTTAGTACGCTGCATGATTAGTACGCTGCATGATTAGAACGCTGCATGATTAGTATGCTGCACGATTAGAATGCTGCACGCTTAGTACGCTGCATGATTAGTACGCTACATGATTAGAACGCTGCACGATTAGTATGCTGAATGGTTAGTATGCTGCATGATTAGTATGCTGCATGTTTAGTACGCTGAATGATTAGTACGCTGCACGATTAGTACGCTGCACGATTAGTCTGCTGCACGATTAGTATGCTGCATGATTAGTATGCTGCACGATTAGTATGCTGCACGATTAGTATGCTGCACGATTAGTCTGCTGCATGATTAGTATGCTGCATGTTTAGTATGCTGCATGATGAGTATGCTGCACGATTAGTACGCTGCACGATTAGTATGCTGCACGATTAGTCTGCTGCACGATTAGTCTGCTTAACAAAAAGACCCAGACCTACAGTTTGTTTGGTTGTTGTTTAACGCCGCACACAGCAATATTCCAGAGATCTGTAAATAATCGAGTCTGGGCCAGACAATCCAGTGAAATGCATCAATCAAGTCAGCGAACCTGACCCGCCGATCCCGTTAGTTGCCTCTTACATTGGTTGCTGAAGACCAATTGCATCTTGATCCAAAAGGATCTTCACGGGCTTACCAGACCTGAAGAATAAACCTTCTGCTTCCAATGTCATGGGTTTGCAATATAAGGTCAATCCTTTCACAAATATATGGTCAATAAACGTTTTCACACCCTACAATGTGCCATGTATTTGTCAAGCACACCTATAAAAGTTTAAGTATCTGCACTGCGAACTTCAACAGCGTTTTTATTACACCTTCTGGAGGCTTGGCCAGCTTGTGTTCTACGTTGGTCTTTGATGTTGTCTACTGAAAGAAGACTTTCAGTTCTTCTTGCAAAAACTGAAATTAATGATTTTTTTCCCTTGTACGTCTTTACACAACTAAAAAATACAGAAGTTACTGTTTTAGGTTTGTTTGTTTTTTCAAAAAGGTATTTCCCATATTACTAAACAGAGCAGATATTTAGTATATCGAGGAAAATCTAGTTTCGCCCCAAATTACTTTTTTCATTAGTTTCGTTGTCTGGTTTCTACAAATCAACAGTCTGGTGGTCATGTTTTACTACATCACCCACCCGACTGGCTACAACACTAACCCGACTGGCTACAACACTAACCCGACTGGCTACAACACTAACCCGACTGGCTACAACACTAACCCAACTGGCTACAACACTAACCCGACTGGCTACAACACTAACCCGACTGGCTACAGAACTAACCCAAATGGCTACAACACTTACCCGACTGGCTACAACACTAACCCGACTGGCTACAACACTAACCCGACTGGCTACAACACTAACCCAACTGGCTACAACACTAACCCGACTGGCTACAACACTAACCCGACTGGCTACAACACTAACCCGACTGGCTACAACACTAACCCGACTGGCTACAACACTAACCCGACTGGCTACAGCACTAACCCAACTGGCTACAACACTAACCCGACTGGCTACAACACTAACCCGACTGGCTACAACACTAACCCAACTGGCTACAACACTAACCCAACTGGCTACAGCACTAACCCGACTGGCTACAGCACTAACCCAACTGGCTACAACACCCACCCAACTGGCTACAGCACTAACCCAACTGGCTACAACACTAACCCGACTGGCTACAACACTAACCCGACTGGCTACAACACTAACCCAACTGGCTACAACACTAACCCAACTGGCTACAGCACTAACCCAACTGGCTACAACACTAACCCAACTGGCTACAACACTAACCCAACTGGCTACAACACTAACCCAACTGGCTACAGCACTAACCCAACTGGCTACAACACTAACCCAACTGGCTACAACACTAACCCAACTGGCTACAACACTAACCCAACTGGCTACAACACTAACCCGACTGGCTACAACACTAACCCAACTGGCTACAACACTAACCCGACTGGCTACAACACTAACCCAACTGGCTACAGCACTAACCCAACTGGCTACAGCACTAACCCAACTGGCTATAGCACTAACCCGACTGGCTACATCACCCACCCAACTGGCTACAACACTAACCCAACTGGCTACAACACTAACCCAACTGGCTACAACACTAACCCGACTGGCTACAACACTAACCCAACTGGCTACATCACCCACCCGACTGGCTACAACACTAACCCGACTGGCTACATCACTAACTCAACTGGCTACAACACTAACCCGACTGGCTACAACACTAACCCAACTGGCTACAACACTAACCCGACTGGCTACAACACTAACCCAACTGGCTACAACACTAACCCAACTGGCTACAACACTAACCCGACTGGCTACAACACTAACCCAACTGGCTACATCACCCACCCGACTGGCTACAACACTAACCCAACTGGCTACAACACTAACCCGACTGGCTACAACACTAACCCAACTGGCTACATCACCCACCCGACTGGCTACAACACTAACCCGACTGGCTACATCACCCACCCGACTGGCTACAACACTAACCCAACTGGCTACAACACTAACCCAACTGGCTACATCACCCACCCGACTGGCTACAACACTAACCCGACTGGCTACAACACTAACCCGACTGGCTACATCACCCACCCGACTGGCTACAACACTTACCCGACTGGCTACAACACTAACCCGACTGGCTACAACACTAACCCGACTGGCTACATCACCCACCCGACTGGCTACAACACTAACCCGACTGGCTACAACACTAACCCGACTGGCTACATCACCCACCCGACTGGCTACAACACTTACCCGACTGGCTACAACACTAACCCGACTGGCTACAACACTAACCCGACTGGCTACATCACCCACCCGACTGGCTACAACACTTACCCGACTGGCTACAACACTAACCCGACTGGCTACAACACTAACCCGACTGGCTACAACACTAACCCGACTGGCTACAACACTAACCCAACTGGCTACAACACTAACCCGACTGGCTACATCACCCACCCGACTGGCTACAACACTTACCCGACTGGCTACAACACTAACCCGACTGGCTACAACACTAACCCGACTGTCTACATCACCCAACCGACTGGCTACAACACTAACCCGACTGGCTACAACACTAACCCGACTGGCTACATCACCCACCCGACTGGCTACAACACTTACCCGACTGGCTACAACACTAACCCGACTGGCTACAACACTAACCCGACTGGCTACATCACCCACCCGACTGGCTACAACACTTACCCGACTGGCTACAACACTAACCCGACTGGCTACAACACTAACCCGACTGGCTACATCACCCACCCGACTGGCTACAACACTTACCCGACTGGCTACAACACTAACCCGACTGGCTACAACACTAACCCGACTGGCTACATCACCCACCCGACTGGCTACAACACTTACCCGACTGGCTACAACACTAACCCGACTGGCTTAAACACTAACCCGACTGGCTACAACACTAACCCAACTGGCTACAACACTTACCCGACTGGCTACAACACTAACCCGACTGGCTACAACACTAACCCGACTGGCTACAACACTAACCCGACTGGCTACAGCACTAACCCAACTGGCTACAGCACTAACCCAACTGGCTACATCACCCACCCGACTGGCTACAACACTAACCCAACTGGCTACAACACTAACCCGACTGGCTACAGCACTAACCCAACTGGCTACATCACCCACCCGACTGGCTACAACACTAACCCAACTGGCTACAGCACTAACCCAACTGGCTACAGCACTAACCCAACTGGCTACATCACCCACCCGACTGGCTACAACACTAACCCAACTGGCTACAACACTAACCCGACTGGCTACAACACTAACCCAACTGGCTACAACACTAACCCGACTGGCTGCAACACTAACCCAACTGGCTACAACACTAATCCGACTGGCTACAACACTAACCCGACTGGCTACAACACTAACACAACTTGCTACAACACTAACACAACTGGCTACAACACTAACAAAACTGGCTACAACACTAACACAACTGGCTACAGCACTAACAAAACTTGCTACAACACTAACACAACTTGCTACAGAACTAACACAATTTGCTACAACACTAACCCGACTGGCTACAACACTAACCCAACTTGCTAGAGCACTTACAAAACTTGCTACAGAACTAACACAACTGGCTACAACACTAACACAACTGGCTACAGCACTAACCCAACTCGCTACAGAAATAACCCGACTGGCTACAGCACTAACCCAACTGGCTATAGAACTAACCTATCTTGCTACAGCACAAACAAAACTTGCTACAACACTAACCCAACTTGCTACAACACTAACCCAACTTGCTACAACACTAACACATCTGGCTACATCACCCACACAACTGGCTACAACACTAACCCAACTTGCTACAACACTAACACAACTGGCTACAACACTAACACAACTGGCTACAACACTTTCACAACTGGCTACAACACTAACACAACTGGCTACAACACTAACACAACTGGCTACAACACTAACACAACTGTCTACAACACTAGCACAACTGGCTACAACACTAACACAACTGGCTACAGAACTAACACAATTTGCTACAACACTAACCCGACTGGCTACAACACTAACCCAACTTGCTAGAGCACTTACAAAACTTGCTACAGAACTAACACAACTGGCTACAACACTAACATAACTGGCTACAGCACTAACCCAACTGGCTATAGAACTAACACAATTTGCTACAACACTAACCCGACAGGCTACAACACTAACCCAACTTGCTAGAGCACTTACAAAACTTGCTACAGAACTAACACAACTGGCTACAACACTAACATAACTGGCTACAGCACTAACCCAACTGGCTATAGAACTAACCTATCTTGCTACAGCACAAACAAAACTTGCTACAACACTAACCCAACTTGCTACAACACTAACCCAACTTGCTACAACACTAACACATCTGGCTACATCACTCACACAACTGGCTACAACACTAACCCAACTTGCTACAACACTAACACAACTGGCTACAACACTAACACAACTGTCTACAACACTAACCCAACTTGCTAGAGCACTTACAAAACTTGCTACAGAACTAACACAACTGGCTACAACACTAACACAACTGGCTACAACACTAACACAACTGGCTACAGCACTAACACAACTGGCTACAACACTAACAAAACTTGCTACAACACTAACCCAACTTGCTACAGAACTAGCCCGACTGGCTACAGCACTAACTCAACTTGCTACAACACTAACCCAACTTGCTACAGCTCTAACACAACTGGCTATAGCACTAACCCAACTTGCTACAGCTCTAACACAACTGGCTATAGCACTAACACAACTTGCTACAGCTCTAACACAACTGGCTATAGCACTAACACAACTTGCTACAGCTCTAACACAACTGGCTATAGCACTAACACAACTTGCTACAGCTCTAACACAACTGGCTATAGCACTAACCTATCTTGCTACAGGACTAACCCAACTGGCTATAGCACTAACCCAACTTGCTACAGAACTAACGCAACTGTCTGCAGCACTAAACTTCCTGCAGTTAATGCTATACAGTAACCAACAGAGACTTATTTCTTGATTTAATCACGTACATTCAAGATCTCCAAAGTATTCTGAGAGATCTGGTCAATGTATTATGTTGTTGGTAAATAGCAGATCTAATGACAGGATTTGTGTAGAGGGATATGGCAGGCTGCAATGGTGTAGATACTATTTTCTTGACACTTGGTTACCATGGCTATGGATTCAAAAGACCTCATGTGAACTATTGCTTGATAGTTTCATAATATATTTTTTTATTTATTAGTTCTAGAATGTCAACGGAAGACATCTTGCTTTATTCACTCATAAATTTCCACGGTACATATCCAAAAAGTAAATCTTATCTAATTTTTAAAAATTACAATTCTGGAATATTGCTAAAAGCGGTGCAAAATCATACTCACTGTCATCGATGATTAAATTTGCATGAAGAAATTGTTTTACGTTTCAAATCTATGGTTCTGAAAGATTAAAATATTGGAATAGAGTCCATTAATAATCAAGGTTCAAAGTGGGAATGAGTGCCCCAGACATTAAAAGGCTGGCATTTTGCTGTGTGTTCCGATCCAAGAGTCCCGCTGATTATCCCCTGTTCAATGATCTGCATGCCTTCGGGTTTCCTGCCACATAAACAGGACATGTTGTGACATGGCAAACACCTGGTGTCATCACTGAGTTTCTACTCATATAAACTCTTAAAGAGCTTATTCTATGCCAGTGCAATTTTGTTGGAGATGCTGGTGGGGCAGCACATGCCTACCCTTTTCACGAACACCTGGTGACATCACTGATTTTCAACGATCCAATCATATAAGCTCTTAAAGTGAGTGAGTGAGTGAGTGAGTTGGGTTTAACGCCGCTTTTAACAGTATTCCAGTTATATCACGGTGTGTCAGCTTAATGTGGGAGTAAAGCCCGAAGTGATGCAGGTCTGCGGTGAAACCCACGGGCACGGGTATGGTGCTGACAAACCTAGAAACATAATCGGGGCGAACCGGGATTCGAACCCACAATCATAGGTTTCTGGCGTGCCCAAGGGACGCAACTCTGCACAGCGAATCGCGGCGCCTTAGGCGACTGGGCCACCCGTGCCCCCCAGCTCTTAACGAGCAGCACATGCTAACCCTTTCACGAACACCTGGTGACATCACTGATTTTCAACGATCCAATCATATAAGCTCTTAAAGAGCAGCACATGCTAACCCTTTTCACGAACACCTGGTGTCATCACTGATTTTCAACGATCCAATCATATAAGCTCTTAAAGAGCAGCACATGCTAACCCTTTTCACGAACACCTGGTGTCATCACTGATTTTCAACGATCCAATCATATAAGCTCTTAAAGAGCAGCACATGCTAACCCTTTTCACGAACACCTGGTGTCATCACTGATTTTCAACGATCCATTCAATGATTTTCAAAGCTACATTGCCTTATGCCCAATGGAATCTGTTTTGGTGGATGGTTGAGACTGGTTTTTTGACGTTTTATACATAATACTGAAATACTGGTCTAGCCTCCTTAAACCAAAGTCACTCACTCCAAGACCAATCAGATTTTACAAGACTCTGACATTGGACTATTGGATTAAGTCAAAGACAGTTATATGCAGGACATGGAGACACCGCTTGGAATATCACAGACAACAGGCCGTGCAACCATCACACAAATGTTCGCCTTTTTTCGCAGCAAGCAACGTAAATGCATCACAGACTGAGGAATCGAACTTGAATCTGCATGAGGTGAGGTGAAATGAGGTTTAACGTCGCGTCCAAGATTATTGCACTTATATAGCGACGTGCATGTACGTGTGTGTGTGTGGCTGCTTGTACTAGTCCGGACTGATGCCAATTTATAGTGCTAGCACGCTGAGATACCATGCCGCAGTTTAACATGAATACCCCACTCAGACACAGTATACTGACTCCGAGCCGACCAGTCCTTGTTTTAGCCCCTTAATGCCGAGCGCCAGACAGGGTAACAAGTACCATCTTTTAACGTCTTTTGGTATGACGCGGTTAGGGATCGAACCCCGGACCTTCCGCTCTACTACTAGACCACGGAGGCGGTCTGAATCTGCATGAAAGCTAACACACGACCCACCGGGCCATCAAACCAGGCACCCCTGCAAATACATAAATAAATACAAACACAAGAATCTCCATACATCTTAATCTTTATTTACATTTTCGGACAAATAATGACAGTTAATAATGTAATGAAAACCATAATCAACTGATGTCAGTTTGAAAGAATAATCAGATCTTTTTGAAAAAATTATTTATCATTTGGTATTCGAACTAAAAAGTTTAAACAGTTCAGCATTTCTCACGATAATGTTAATAATATCAAAATCTTATCTTACATTTCATGAGAAGGATAAAACAACATTAGGTGGGACAAAATGTCGATGTTGACTTATACATAACACAATCATGTCATATCTCTTTGTAAAGACACCTGTCACCTACTATAGGACTGGGTGCTGCTGAGGTCATATGTAAGTTGGGTTTAACACCACAGAATTCCACTTATATCACGGTGTGTCAGCTTAATGCTTTAAGTCCAAGTGATGCAGGTCTCAGACGCTGCCCACTTTAATGAATCCACAAACAAGGGTATGGTACTGACATACCTAGAAACATAATCTGGACAAACAGGGATTCGAACCTAGGTTTCTGGCTTGCCTAAGGGACACACCTTTGCATATCAAATATGACTGACGACTGCGCCTGCCCAACAAAGGGACAAGAGAATCCTCCACTCCTATCTTAAATGACAGGTGCCTAAGTTACCCATTGTATAGAACACTGTACAATAGCATTGTATTCATGTGACATTTCAAAACTGTATGCACTGGCACATTAATCATGTTATCAAACAAAATGGATTTAAAAAGCATATCAAACAATAGGGTACAAAATGTCTACAATGTATAACACATAAAGAGCTTATCCTACAGGGAAAACAAGATCAGGACGTCTAGGCCAGGCAGTTTGCCTATGGTGGAGAAACCCGTGCTGTGAGTAAGATTCCTAAATGTTCCAGTCTTTTTCTTGTTTGCCAATTGAATTTCAGGAACTATTTATAAATCATCTCCACAAAATACTGTTTATATCTGACAAAATAATTTTCAGCCTCAGGACTGTTTTCCACTCAGACTCTAAAGCATAAAAATAAACAACTAGTCATCCTTATTACTAGTCCTAGTAGTAGCAGTAGCAGCAGTAGTAATGGTAAAGTTTTCTAAAACCTTACGTCGATGGCTACATTTTTTATTTTTTAAAAATCATTTTTCTTAAAAATACCATTTCCACTTTTTTTATTTGGCTTGGGTTTGCAGATCTGTATACCAAGGCTAGTATTTCAAACATGTATGGTAAGCATGATGACATTTCTGGACAACACACAGGCTTCACACATTGTACCCATGTGGGGAATCGAACCAGAGCCTAGGGCATGATGAGCGATCACATTAACCACTGGGCTACAACAACGCCTTCTGACATAAGAGCTGATCCAATAGATAGTGATGGTGTGGTATGAACGACATACAGGACATAGTAGTTTGATGTAGATGCATGTGACACAGAGGTACCTGTTGATCACCAGAGTGGAACATTGCACTGGAATAGTGACACTTGTCACTGGCCTATTATTGCAGTAAAGATAATTGCAAGTTCATTCAAAGTCAGACCGGTTTGTTCAGAAAAAGGATTGAAAGCTACAGCGTGACTACATGTATATCTATAAGTGGCATTTTTGAAGAGATAGTATCATACAGTGTTTGAAATTAACATAAGTTTGCAACTCCATAGACTAACATCTAGTCTCTGAAATGAACATATGTCACAGAAAAAAACAGTTGTTGAATTATAGTTCTAAAATATAATAAAAAAGAGCCCAGAGACTTTCTTCATTTTCAGACGTAATCTAGACTTGCCAAACATTATATGCTTGCATGGGCTGTATTTGTTTCAGGGTCTGTATGAAAGACAAGCAACTCTGTAGCAGATCAAAAAATATCTGCTCTCCATACAGCTATAAAATACTTACCTCGGTAAGAATTTTTAAAAATAATCTTTGAAATGTTGTTTTTGTGATGAAAAGCAATGAACAATGACTATGCTAGACGAAAACTGTGAAATTGCTTGAAGGACATGATATAACACTGGTAAACAATTAGAAATCTTGCAACACAACAGGGGTAGTGCCAGCATTTAACAAGTCCTTCTGAGACTAAACATGTGTGAGGGGAAAGCATAGGTGTCCCACACAATCTCAGATATAAAGCCTGGATTTAAATACACACCAGTGGATCCTGCATGACTAAGGGAGGCAACTTTTCCCAGTTTACTCCTTTGACATATAACTTCATTCAGTAGTCCCCAATGAATCATGAAATAATGGGATTACACACTAGTGTCCTCCTTGTCATTCATAGCATCACCACCTATAGGCTTCATCACCTCCAACATCTGCATAAAATGACCAGTGTTCCTCTAGTCCAGGGTCATATGTTGAATAGATTTCTGTGATGTGTCTTACTTCATCAAGTGATGAATGGTAAACTGAGAGTTGTCAAATAACACAATTGTTAAGTCAAACATCACCTGGAAGAGGCTATCCTATCCTGACCACATCAAATTAATTAGACTATACGCAGGAATCTTGTCTATCTAGGGAGCCACTATTTAATATTCAAAAGACCTAGTTTATTGTCAGAGACAGGAGGAAGGTTTTTTTGTCATTGTTTCAAAACATACATACAAAATTAACTTATTCTTTACAACACGTTTCTTTGCAGGACATCCCACATGTTCAGCATACAATTTTAGTTGTAGGTAACACAATTTACACAATTTAAATAAATCCAATTTTTTTTTAAATTCCCATGTCCCCCTCTCCCCAGAATATCGAATGATGGATCCCTTATCATACTACAAAATCCTATTCAAGACCGTGGACTTTTTTCACTGATTATGATTATTTCAAAATATTAAAAAAAATTCCTTTGTCCAAAATCCAATTCTTATTTAATGAATTTCTTATGGAGAATCTGAGCTATTCCATGTCATTAAATAACAAAATAATTTCAGCATCAGCTCATATCTGACAATTATCATAGTTACCGTATTCAACGTAATAAGCACCCAGGGCGCTCTCAAATTTAGAAATAGAGGGCTCTTATTAGAATAAAATTTTGGTGAAAAAAAAAACCCAGAGTTGAAAGATCGTAAATTTCATGGTTGATGCTGACAGCCTGAAATGTTTATATATGACAAATATATTTTTCCAGAATTTAATGGCCTATAATTAAGGGTGCATATTATACACGAATAAATAAGTATTGTGTACATTAATCAATCTGAAGGGGTGTGAATTGGGACTGTTCACTAGCCAATATATTAGCCATGGGCGCTTATTAGAGCGGGGCGCTTAATACGTCGAATATGGTACTGGTTTAGCCCAAATCATATCGCCACACCTACAATAATACACAATTGTGCATTGAAATCATCACAAATGAGCATCAGTGACCTCAAGATGCACAACAGAAATTGTACAAGTTGTAGACCAAGGTCTCAACTGCCCTGTACCCCAAGTAAACCAACAGATGTCCCTCCGAGTCCTTGTGACGGCCATTGCTGAAGGATCAACAGATTCCCTCCATGGAATCAATCCTTAACTGGCTTCCTCCTGGTGTCCATTGCTATCCCTGTCAGACTCAATGTCTGCAGCATTTGTCTTCATCACAGACCTGTCAGTCTTCATTACTCTACACAGTGTTATTGTTTTCTTCCTGCAATATTTCCTGAAGGTAATCCCTTGAGCATCTTCCCTCTTTCTTGTCATATTCAAGTTCAAATATCAGTTCAGCAGTTTCACTTGCGAGATGCCCTACATCAGTTATCTCTGTATTTATGCATGCCATAATTGCAAGCACCTCCTCTCTTATCCATAAACATTTAGCATCTTTGTTATTTTCCTTTTTTAACAGTCTTCCTCTAACTCCTCTCTCATATTTATTTCCCTGTCGTACAAGCCTTCTGTTGTCAAACAGTCCAAACATAGGTTCTTTCCCTAACCAAATCCAATGTGACACAAGCCTTACAAGCTTTGTCTTGTCCAGTATTCTGAAACACAGCTAGTACCTTCTCTACTAAAACCTCCCATGAAGTGTGACACATCCTGCCTTACAAGCATTCAGTTGTCCACTTCTGACACATAGTTGTCCACTTCTGACACATAGCTACGTTCCGTAACAAGGCCTCATCTCCAACATATCATGCCTTTACACAGTATTTCTCTTGCATCATTGACCTTCTCAAACCCATCCTTCCCAGTGAAGTCCATATCAAAATATATTCTCCCTCAGGGTAATGTATTATTTTTTTATAACCCTGATCAAAGATTTGCATTTCCCTCCACTGAGCCTGTTCCTCTCACACACTCATCATCCACACGGTAGAAAAATACTCTGTACTCGTCCTTGTATCACAGGTTATTCACGCCGACGTTGGCGCTTCTTCTTCCGTCTCTTCTTCTTCCTCCTCTCACTGTCCGAGTCTGATGAGGATGAAGAAGAATCTGATGAGGATGATGACGATGAGTCAGAGTTGCTGCTGCTACTGCTGCTGCTGTTGTCAGAGTTGGTGGTTGAGCTGAGGTCAGAGGAGCTGTCACTGTCCGAGGATGACGAGGAGTCGGTGTCAGAATCGGAGGAGGAAGAGGAGGAGCTGGAGGTCTCGCCATCAGAACTGGAAGCAGCAACATGTTAGTTATGAGTGAGTGAGTATGTTGAGTTAACACTGCCTTGAACAGTTTTTCAGTTATATTGCTTAATGTCGAGGAAAGGCCAAAGTGATGTAGGTCTTAGACGTTTACCACTTTTGGGATACCCACGAACACAGGTACGGTGCTGATAGACCAAAAAACATAATTCTGGCAAATTGGATTTCGAACCAATGACCATAGGTTTCTGGTGTTTCCCAAGGGACAGAAATCTACACAGTGAAGTGAAGTGCAGCGCCTTGGGTGACTGGGCCACCCGTGGCCCCTGATGGCAGTTATGACTAAAACCTGTCTCATTCCAACAGCAGCAGTCAATACAGGAGTAATGATATACTGACATCACATAATCTTAAATAGAGAATACACCCGTGAAGATCCGGGTTAGAATAGGTCTTCAGCTACCCATGCTTGCTGCAAAAGGCGACTATGCTTGTCGTAACAGGCGACTAAAGGGATGGGGTGGTCAAGCTCACTGACTTGAATAGCGTGGATTGGTGCTCACGATGTCAATCACTGGATCGTCTGGTCCAGACTCGATTATTTACAGACCGCCGTCATATAGCTGGAATATTGTTGGGTTGGGTTGGGTTGGGTTGAGATCGGATCGGATCGGAGAAACGGGGTTTAACACAGTGTTCATGATTATTGCAAATATATAGCAATGTACATGCATGTGTGTGTGTGTGGCTGCTTGTACACGTCTGGACTAATGCTGTTGTTTTAGTGCTGGTTCACTGAGATACCATGCTGCAGTGTAACATTGCAACATTAGAGCAATATCCCAGTGGATAGGTGTAATGACAAACATTGTTTCAGATAGACAGACGAGGGAAAGTTTCCATGGCTGGATAGACAATAGACAACTGCCCAAACATCATACTATCAGACAAATGCTGTTTATCTTATCTTTGCAGTAGAAAGTACAGAAAACAAAATACAGTTTTACAAATATCAAACCTCTTCTCATCTGTAGTTTTGTATGACCCATTGTCAGAAACTTAAAGGGTCAAGATTGTCCTTAAGGTCTGTTGCTATAGTATTTGACTTAGGGAATCTTTAACATTTAACTTTAAATCCCCAGAGTAAGGCTCAACTGCCAGACAACCAGAGAATCTATATATTCAATACCATGATTATCCTATAGGGGCCTCGTTTCCAAGAGAGCAACCCGTAGAGGACCCAAATGTCAATCCCACAGTAGGTTATATCCTAGCAGAATTAAATAATGAAAACAGCAGCAAATGTTCAAGACATGCAAGAGGTGTGACACTGCAAGTCCCATAGAGGTTCTCAACTTCATGTTGTATGAACTTAATGTACTTGTAAAGTCAATTAAAATTATTTTAGCTGGAAAATCTGTTGTTAGCTGAACAATCTGGCACCCCATGGGGGACGTGAACGTGTAACTTTATTTAATTTCCTGTCTTAAATCCTAATACATTTAACCATTGTACCATCAGGCTTATGACAGAGTGAATGATTTGGGCTTAATGCTGCTTGGAACAGCATAAAGTTCAAAAGACCAAACCAATTGGTGTCAAAATTATTGTATGTTGTAGTCAGAACATTGATTAACTTTTCTAGCATCTAAGATTTACTACCTATGAGCAAACTAATCTTTCTATTTGCAGAAATGTATCAACTCCAAATTTCCAGATCTTCTGGAGAAATGGTAAGGAAATATAAATTGCTTTATCATACCTTCATGTCAGATCTGATTGGTTCACGTGATCTCGATAAAATACTTTGTATCTTGCCTTGGAGGGAAATAAATTTCTCAGCGGGAGAATAAATCTCTTATCCCCGCCATGAACAAGACAGGCTGCACGTGGATTTGAAAGGTAGGATAAGTCCCTTATACCCTGCTTCGAAACAAAAAGCTGTATGCTGTTTCCGAGTCAATGAAAGTCATGTGACATAGAACAAGTTAACCTCAGCTCAATCAAACAGCTGTTTTCTATTAATTTGTTTTAGTTCTTTCACAATGTCATTTTAAACATGTTGATAAGATAAATTCATTGCTCATGGTATAAACCTAACACGTGACACATAAAACCAATTGTATACCGAGTGATCCTGCTACAACTTTTATTATCATCCAACACTGGCTAACACAGATCAAGCAATGTTTCCTTACTTAGGATATATCACTCTTGGTTGCCAAGATGCACAATCAAATGACATCACTAATCTCTATGCCACTAAGTCAGGTTAGTTGTACTTATTACTGTTTAGAAACTGAAAAAGTTGGAAAAGGATTTACAATGATAAACAGAATCTCAGCCTCATGTCTTTTGGTGTTTTAAACTTTTATCAACTTGTGATGATAGATATATCAAAAGACACGAGGGAGAGATATTCTATTTAAGCTGCATTAGCAATATTCACAGCTATCCAGGGAGAGGAGGCATTGCTGGTTTCTGTAATTCATCAATTATATGCACTTATACATATACATACCCATGCTTCTTTTTCTTTTTCTTTTCTTGGATTGTTGAAGTCTTAGCTCTGTAACACAAGCAGCAAGTTCACTATACAGGATCAGCATACCGTATTTGCTGTAATATTACTCTGGGCACTAAGAAAATTGACAAAAAGGGGTGCTCAAAAAACCAAACATGAGTTATATCTTTTTTCAGAGAGGGGGGCACGGGTGGCCCAGTTGTCTAAGGTGATGCAATTCGCTGTGTAGAGTTGCGTCCTTGTGTGTGTCAAATAAACTTTAGGTCATTGTTGGAGCGCTTATAAAGATTTCTTATAGATTGGTCTAGAAGTTGGTCTAGGGCGCTTTATGCAGCAAATATGGTACATAAAACACCTCGCAAAGCCATAACTATACCATTTGCATAATCACTTGATGCCCAGACATTCTGTGAGACAATCATCTCTTACATATATAGCAAATGCATCCCTGGAGACTGTCATTAGGAGAACGTTGTAAACATGGGTGGCATCTTTCAAGAAAACAGACCGAGCCGTCTAGTTCTGCAACGCATGCACAGTATTTCAGACATCACCCTGCACCTGTGATTATCTGTCCTTGATTTCAGGGACATTTGTGACAGAAAAATATGATATAGCTGAGTTATTAACTCTACATACTCAAAATTCATCCGAAACGAATATTTTCAAAGCCATCCATTCCTTTCCATTCCATTCTACTTTTGGCAATCCTACTTAATGAGGGGAAGATTGTTTGACAACCATTACAACTACCCACTGAAATTACTATTATTTTTCGGTAAGAAAATCAAATTTTGCCACATATGAATTCTGATATTACTGTTATACTACCAAAACAATTTTCTTCTACTTTACCCAATACACACCAAGATTACATAAGGGAAAGAATAATGACCTCATTAGACTGTCTGGGTATGGTTGAACACAGCAATCTAAACAGATTAGAATGCTGTTATCCACACAACATATTATAAGTTCTATTTCCAGCTAGGGTACACTTTTGAAAGAGCCCCTGTCTGAGGGCTACAGCAATTTAAACAGTTGAATGCTGTTATCCCCACAACATATGATGAGTTCTAGATCTGGCTAGGGTTCTCATGTGAATGGGTTCCTCCGTCTGAGTCACATCATACAGAGATGTAGTCAACTGAAATGTCTTTCAAATGAGGTAACACCTCCTAAGCCTATCACCACACCATGATGGTAATAACTACTGGAAAAATATAACTCCGTTAATTTAAGAGACAGTGGAGTCGCTTGAGTGTTAAATGTTCAATTGATGGTTGAGTGAGTGAGTTAACATTGCTCTAAGCTGCATCTGCAATCTTGTAGCTATTCTCAGTGATGGTTGAAACAGACAACTAAGCAATATTCTCCAGCTGAAGCCTGGAATATTCGATCTGAAGGTGACTGAGATGAATTCCCTGTATTCACAAATTGCCATCCCTAGACAAATGTTCTCGATTTTTTGCTTTCTCATTTCAATTTAGAATCCATTAAACTATCACATGGCATGGAAGGTGCCAGATCCGTGTTTCAAGAACTTGTAACTCTTCATGAGGTCCTATTTGATATGGAAAACAAATTCACAAATTATGCCAATATATCCTTGAACAGTGTGAAATGGGCAGTTGTTTAGGACAAGTAGGTAGGGACAAGCATATCGGCTTCACTGATCTGGCAGTTCAGCATGCGAGATGTGGAACATATTACCAGAACTTCACTAATAATTATTATCTTTCCATGTTCCAAGTAAAGAAATAGATCTTACTTTTTCAAGCCAATGTCAGTTTTTATTGTCATTGATAGGAACATCCAAACCGCTTTCACTTTCATATGGATAATGATTTCTGAGGAGAAAATGTTTAATGACAAGAATGGCAAAAAAAGATCTTGGCATATATAAGCTGCTTGGATCTTCAGTCGACAAGTCTTCACACAGTTTGCTTTTTCATTGCTCACTAAACGTAGCTACATGTAACAGCACAGTAGTTGCTCCAAATCATATTTCAATATGGCTGCTTTGGCAGCCATGTTTAATCGGATAAGAACTCTCTTAGCATTTAACAATGACATGCTGTGATGTTTCATCTCAGATCGTGCAGTGTCAGAGGAGATGTGACAACATTAAATCATGCAAGGCAGATGATTTATGGAAAATAATCAATATCATAAACCCACACGATCCTCTCCACAGGTGAGTGAAAAAAATCACAAAGTTAATGCCCCATGAATATATAACCCTCAAAAAGCCATTTCAAGTAAAACTCAATCAACAGAAGTAATCAATCATGAATAATAAACCCTGAAGCAATTTCCACAGAAAATAAATGACGAATTGATGACCCAAAACTTTCCACTGCAAATGGAATGTGACTCACAAGAGCTCTAGTTTCTGTTTGTCTTCTTCCTGTTTCATTCGCTTGATCATTTCCTTGGTGCGTGACGGCCGGTGGACATACTTTCTCTTGCCCGTACACTGATACGTCCAGTGGCCAATCTCCAGGCACTTCTGACAGCGAACCTTCTCTGCACTCTGCTCCCTGAAACAGACAAGACGGGGCATCAGACCGACTGGCAAAATTACCCCCACAAATCACACAAGTCCCCTTGGGACCTGCACATCTTCAGTCATTATAAGGAATTACAACAAGTTTGATGAATTTGGCTCACAATTCAGCAACTTTGATGTAAATTTCTATGCAGCAGTGACGACAGTCTAAAAAGAAAAGTTTCCCAAGTGAATTAATCTGGATATCAATCATGATTAATTGGATATCTCTATTTGTCCTGATCACATTTTTCTCACCAACCGCTGAGCTATAGGATACTTTTTCTTCGTTATGAAATCGAGTGAATGATAGGCACGTTTTTTGTTGGCGATATCTCACCAAACAGTGCATCACCCCTAATACCTGTACATGCAAATAAATCATTGCTAACCTCAGGCTGTGTGATTAATCCATTATTCTGTCGATGCAAGTTTCCTTCACAGCAATACACGTGAACCTCCAATCAATGTCCTAACGTGAGAGCTGTCAATATCGACAGCTATCACGAGCAAGTGGCTAGTCTCATTATCACATCTTTGATGCTCGATATGTAATTTCGGTTGCAACACTACTGGGATGCAGCGAGGCTGCTGCTGTCGTAGAAATGCGTTAATTACATCCCATCCCATCACTGAAGGCCTTTTTCAGTTGAAAGTGAGAAAAGATACAATGGATGAGATGAGAGCAACATACATTTTCTCTTGATAATGGAAGCTTCAAAACTACAGAGGAAACCGCTCCATATTTAGAACTAATTTGTAGGGGCCATCTCAAAGAATGGGTATAAATGGGTATAAATGGGTATAAATGGGCACAGGATGACAGAATATTGGGTTTCGTTTGTTTTTAATTCACATTTTCTAACAAAATGACAGTACTCTTTTCCTTGCAAATTGAAATGTCTTTTTGCTTTAATGTCCCTGAGTGAATGAAAGAATCATGTTTTACAGTAATTGACGGCAACTTCACAGCAATGCATGTTATCAAGCCCGATCCCGACAAACCATTGTCGATGAAGTCTGATTAATAGAACCACACAAAACAGTGTGTGATAAAACCTGATTCATAGAACAAGACAAACTAGTGGTTGATAAAATCTCATTTATAGAACCAAACAATCTAGTGGTTGATGAAATCTCATTAATAGAACCCGACAAACTAGTGGTTAATACAATCCCATTAATAGAACCAGACAAGGTAGTGGTTGATACAATCCCATTAATAGAACCAGACAAGGCAGTGGTTAATACAATCCCATTAATAGAACCAGACAAGGCAGTGGTTAATACAATCCCATTAATAGAACCAGACAAGGCAGTGGTTAATACAATCCCATTAATAGAACCAGACAAGGCAGTGGTTAATACAATCCCATTAATAGAACCAGATAAGGCAGTGGTTAATACAATCCCATTAATAGAACCACACAAAACAGTGTGTGATAAAACCTGATTCATAGAACAAGACAAACTAGTGGTTGATAAAATCTCATTTATAGAACCAAACAATCTAGTGGTTGATGAAATCTCATTAATAGAACCCGACAAACTAGTGGTTAATACAATCCCATTAATAGAACCAGACAAGGTAGTGGTTGATACAATCCCATTAATAGAACCAGACAAGGCAGTGGTTAATACAATCCCATTAATAGAACCAGACAAGGCAGTGGTTAATACAATCCCATTAATAGAACCAGACAAGGCAGTGGTTAATACAATCCCATTAATAGAACCAGACAAGGCAGTGGTTAATACAATCCCATCCCACGGTTCCAGCTATATGACGGCGGTCTGTAAATAACTGAGTCTGGACCACACAATCCACGTGATTGATATCATGAGTATCGATCCACGCAATTGGGATCGATAGCATGCATCAACCAAGTCCTGACCACCCGATCCCGTTTGTCGCCTCTTACAACAAGCATAGTGTAGGAGTGAGTGAGTGAGTATGGTTTTACGCCGCTTTTAGCAATATTCCAGCAATATCATGGCGGGGGACACCAGAAATGGGCTTCACACATTGTACCCATGTCGGGAATCGAACCCGGGTCTTCGGCGTGGCGAGCGAATGCTTTAACCACTAGGCTACCCGACCGCCCCCATAGTGTAGGAAGGACAGACAGGAAGAGATTAAGACTTCATCACCAGAGCAGCATGTATATCACACAGTAACGTACACCATAGGGATTCTGGTTAGTACAGATCACAAGCAACAAATGCGTGTCATAAAAGGTGACAAAATGGTGGGGTTGTCCAGCTTCAATTGGTTGCTAGCATGTCACACAATCCCACGGAGGGCGAGAAGGCTCATATCAATCTCTGGTTTGTCTGACCAGATTTGAATATAACTGTTTATTAACTGATCATTTCATTATTTGGAATATTGCTGATTGAGGCATTAAACAGCAAACAAACAAACATTACAAGTCCATGGCAACATCAATCTAAATATGTTTCCGCAGCTCAGGATAAAATAGACACCTTACATAAAACAGACCTCATTAAGGTCAACCCGTGTCAACCCGTGTCAACCCGTGCCCACCAGTGCCCACCAGTGTCAACCAGTGTCAACAAGTGTCAACCTGACCTCCATGATCATCAAGGGGAGATAATTAGATCAGCCCCCTCAACTCCAGATCAAAGCCATCCACGATGATGTCACCCATTCTATGACACATGACATAATTGTTTATGAAGCCATCTCTATTGAGCCAGATCGCCCAGACAAACGGTAAATCAATGTTATTGACTGTGCTGCACTGGGATACTTTGTCAGACTGATTGTGATGGAGAGCTTTCAGACAGAACCAACACCAGGCTGACAAATCCATTAGTCCTGTCCTGACTGAAACACTGCCATGAATGCAGACTGACATTAAAAATAATGCTGATTCCATAACCCTTGTCATGAAATAGAAATCTTCCTATAATGGTAACCAGACTTTCATCACCTGCAACTTGTTGACTGTGTGTGCATGGTCTTCTGTCTAGGCCTCTTTCTATGATTTGAGCATTTGTCCTGATAGTGGCGGGTCGGGGTTCAATCGCCAGCCGTGTCATACCAAAAGACGTTAAAAGATGATACTTGTTGTTACCCTGCCTGGAGCTCAGCAAAAAACAGGACTGGTTGGCTTGTAGTCAGTGTACTGTGTCTGAGTGGGGTATTCATGTTATACTGACATGGTATCTCAGTGGTCTAGGAACATAAAACCATCATTAGTCTAGAATACGTACTCATACGAGCATGCATACACACGCACACACACACACACAGCTTTATGAGTCCAATGATATGGAACAAGACCTCACCTCTTTGGACTAAGTATAATGAGAGGATGCGAGCACACACACATAAAACAAAGTGCAATAATTCTGAACGCGACATTAAACCCCATTTCACCTGCCCTCTTTCTATGATTGACTTGAAATGGGAATTAGTATCTCTCCATTCAGAATTCATGTACTTTGAAAGCTACTTGGAAGCTATGGAACACATCAATCAATAAAGAAGTCGGATCAGGACCACAGGTTATATTGCTATTCAGATTAAACCAATAATTGTAATTCATCGGTTCATGTGAATCAACTGAAGTTATGCACCATCACTGACACTGACCGATTCACATTGACTATTTTACTTGTGCTCACCGACCCATGAACCGGGTTAGAATTGTCTTCAGCAACCCATGCTTGTCATAAGAGACGACTAAAGTAAAGGGATCAGTGGTCAGGCTCGCTGACTTGGTTGAAGTATGTCATCATATCCCAATTGCATAGATTGAAGTTGATGTCAATCACTGGATTACTTCTTTGATAGGCATTTAGAAGTTGGAGTACTAAGTAAGGATAAGAATTTATGGATGAACAACTTCTTTATTACAATTAAGCGCGACGTTTCAGTGTAGGTTCTAACACCGTTATCACTTGCGAGTTCTGATTGCAGGGATGTACTGTTCATATGTCATGCATTACAGTCCCTTGTTACAGTCTGTTACAGTCCCTTGTTACCGTTCCTTATTACAGTCCCTTGTTACAGTCTGTCTGTCTGTTACAGTCCCTTGTTACAGTCTGTCTGTCTGTTACAGTCCCTTGTTAGTCTGTCTGTCTGTCTGTTACAGTCCCTTATTACAGTCCCTTGTTACAGTCCCTTGTTACCGTCCCTTATTACAGTTCCTTGTTACAGTCTGTTACAATCCCTTGTTACCGTCCCTTATTACAGTCCCTTCTTACAGTCTGTCTGTCTGTCTGTCTGTTACAGTCCCTTGTTACAGTCCCTTGTTACAGTCTGTCTGTCTGTTACAGTCCCTTGTTACAGTCCCTTGTTACAGTCTGTCTGTCTGTTACAGTCCCTTGTTGCCGTCCCTTGTTACCGTCCCTTGTTACAGTCCCTTGTTACCGTCCCTTATTAGTCCCTTGTGACAGTCCCTTGTTACAGTCTGTCTGTCTGTTACAGTCCCTTGTAACTAGTTCTTCAAGTGACAAAGTCCTGCTTGATATTGACTGAGACTGAAGCTCCAATGTTATTAAAACTTGAATACCAGATTTCTTCTTGTACTGGCACACCTGGCTATTCACATCTAAAATTTACTAGCAAAAACTATCTGGCCATCCTGGCTAGTACTGTTGAAAACTTAATTCTCATAATGAGCATGTCGCTCACTTAAAAATTGACTTTCACTTTGCGTGAATTAGTTGGAGTATGAACCTTTATAGAGCGAGGGCCAAACTGTATGAACGTCGGAGCTTGCGACAATTTCTAACAGATTTACTTATTTCTTAACAGTTGCAGATCCTGTGAACCAAGAAGGTCAAAATCATACCTGAATGTCCTAGTCTACTGTATATTTGCAAAACAGGTGTATTTCTGCATTTGTGTAACTTCAGATATTCAAATTCGAAGAGTAAACTTTGGCCATTTCTAGTTTCATGAAAAATATCAACCAAAAAGAATGACTGAATATATACTACTCTAAGATTAAGAAAACT